AAGATGTAGTAATACAAGACGTAGTTCTGACCTCTGACTCTCTGCCAGTGCCCTCTCCATGAAGTTCTGTGTCCGCTCTGCACTGATGTCCTCATTCCCCTCAAATCTACCCTCCTCCTGGTACAGGATTGAAAACAATCATTTATAGTGAATAATGCACAAGTTTGTGGCATACATGTAGTTTATGCATATGATACGTGTATTAAGGTAACCACTGCGCGCACTTAGATCACAAGAAAGCGTTGCTAAGATGTGAAAACTTTACATACAAATTTAGCCAAGCGAAATTAGCTACAAAGCAATGCGAAAAACTCTATACCCCACCCCTGCGAAACAAAACAACACATATCCCTGCCCCTATCTCACCCTCTGTTGGTTGTAGTGCGCCATGACGAACTCGGACAGTTCCCCGGTTCCCTCTGCCCCGGCTGCCTCAACTTCTTCCCCTTCAACCTCCATCATTTCGGCGTTTTCGGCGTTGTTTTGGTCCGAGTCCCCGGCGTCCCTTTTACCATGGTCACCCTCCGCCATGTTGATGACGCAATAAAATGCACCGGGACAGACCGTTCCATTGTAGTTTAGGGGATCAGAGAGACTTTTGAAAATGTGTCTACAGATATAAAATGATTTGGTACCGAGGTTGTTTCATCGTTTCGAGAATTTTTTCAGCACATGTTGGATCTCCATGTAACGTTATACTAGTAGACACTTAACATGTTTTACTTCATACATACTATGTAATACATAACAGGTGTTTCTTTGGCAAGATATAAACGCCGCCTAGCGGATAAGCGGACATGTGCAATCTGAGATAAAAGCAAAGACTAATGGTGTTGGGGCACTGTGGAAGTTCTGATACCGTAAAACACACCAAAATACATTTCTTTTAATACGGTATTTCGGTGAAAAAATAACGTATCGCTTTCAACATTTCTATTTTTAGAGGGATCATGCGAAGGGGTCCTAGTTTATTCCCCAAAAGCCAAATAGAAGGAACAGGAAAAGCAATAGACGAAGGACAATAATATACGGCCACTTTTAATTAAATACTAAATCA